CACATTACAAACCTTTTTGGTTAGTGAAAACTCGTGTTCAATAATTACTTCTGATTCAAATGGTTATAATGTCGTTTTATATGAATTTTATATCTTACCAAGATACCTGATCACAATTACAATTTTATAAGGAACTCCTGCTCATTCAAATTTAGTTCAAACTCATTAAAACCTCTTATATTTACTGTACTTGAGTAGCTGCAGAAGGCCTAAGTATCGCTAAGTAGTGCTTTTTGAATTTTGAGGTGATCTCTTTTAATATATTAAGAGAAATCAACGTTGATAGGACTTTAATACTTCCTTTCTTTTCAGATGAAGTTTCTTCAGTAGTCGGTTAATAATTTCTTTTACGTCAATAGAACTTCAAGGTTTAGAAATAGGGACAATAATAAGTAATATTTTGAAATACGTTTTGACAATGGTCATCACAATAAATATGAACCTTTCAAAAAAATAGTGTGTTAAAAATAATTATGTTCATCATATAACAAATCCCAACCAGCTAGTAAAGTAACAAAATAAATCAATTAAATGCATAAAGCTAATTATTGTTTGATGTTTGCGGACAAAACCACATTAGGATGAGTACACGGTTCAACTAAGGTTCCCCATTCTACTGGAAACAGCTAAGACAAGACATGCTAATTATTTAGTCAATTATTCACAAGGATCTTATTTATAACCAACAAACTTTTATATCTATGTATATTAACAAATATATAGGATTTAAAATTGCTAACTATAAATTTATAAGCTTTTAGAACACATACAATCTGATACGTATAGAATATAAATATTTTACATGACGAAATTAACCTTTATCAAATATACTTTACTTGTAAAATAATATTGTTATGTAAACTTTTTCCTGAATAAAAAAACATTATTGGTATAAGTTTGGTAATGGATACTATAACTTGCGATAGACTGTAAAATAATTACTCTCAACGCTCGTAACGTAGCAATGAAGTTCTTGAATAACGACTTTAACTCAGTTAATTATATTTTTATGACGATCTTAATGGCACGTAAAGTTTTTTTTATTAGTTTAATCTAAATAATAATAAGAATAAATGTTAAGCCAGTAGTTATTATAAAACTAAGATTGACCATGTACAAACTTTATCCTGCTACCTTCAGCCACTTTCCTAATGGTCTTTTAGAAACAAATGTTAACAGTCACAGATACAATATTTCTTTATTTCTAACTTATGACAGAGTATTACTGTCTTGCTTTTTTAACAACACTTTTTAAACCAGATATATAACCAAAGTATCGTATATTCTTCTAAAAATGTACGTATAATTTTTAATCCGGTTACTGATTTAATATTGTTTTGATTTCAGACAAATTTACGATTTTATTGGTTTCTTACATTGTTAAAATGTAATGTCACTAAACAAGAGATTACTCATGTTTTAATTTTGGGGTTATTTAAGAATATTCCAAAAGTTGTGATGTATTATTGTGTGTATTATTTATTGCCTTTATCTGAGATCTATAGAATAGTCTTTGCGCTAACATATAATATTTAACACGTTTGATGACTTTAAGAAGTATCCTTAACCCTACTAAGAGAATACTAATACACGGTATGCTCGTCTTTTTCCTCAAAAAATAGTAAAGTTATATAATACTGTATAGGGACTTTAGAATAATCGGTTGAAACTCTTCCATAATAGTAATCATTTACGAATGTTATTATTTTAATACTGATGGTTCTAAAATGTATTATATTTAGATTGATGAATGATATGTCAAGAAAGTATAATACTGTTGATTTCTGTTTGAAGTTTTGAAGCTATTGAACAATGAACATCTAGCCAAAAGCATAATTTTATTACTTTCAAGCTCATTTAGAGTTCCTGGATGGTTATAAAGTATCCTACACTATATTTCATTCTTAAATCGTTTATTGCAGAAACCTCATAACCAATTCTTTTTTTTATTTTTAAATTTCAGTATATGAATTATGTACAAATTGAAATACACCAGTTGGTGCAAAAATCACAAACCCGCGAAAAAAATTTTGAATATGGGGTTTCTGCAATAAACAGTTCCTACAATTAATTGTTACTAAATAAAACCAGTTTTTCGTCACTTTGAAACTATGTAGGGTCAAGAATTCAAATTTTTTTGATATATGTTTACATTACGAATGTAACATCGCGTTTTGTAGGTAAGTATTTCAACCAAAATACAACACATATGATAAAATGTTAATGGGCTTAAAAAAAAAATATCTTCCTATATAATGTAATCAACCTACTTAGGTCTACCTATATAATGTAATCAACCAACTTAGGTCTACAATGGAAACTCCATGTACAATTTCGAAACTTAAATTTATTAATTATTATACAAAACTGATAGTGAAAGAAAAGAAAGGGGGTTCACAATAAATTGTACAAACAGTGGGAAATGAATTTACTTTAAAAACTTTAGGCTAGGCCTATTACAATGGTTTTAATTATTTAGGTTCAATGTTATAATTTACTGAAAGGATCTTTATATCAGGTGGGGTGATCGAGCGGCATTTGAATTTAATCTTGTGATATAAGCCTAATTAAATTTTGTTTTAAAATATAAAGTATGTTCGAATTATAGATTGGTTGAATTAATAATAGTTCTGAATAAGTTAAGCTTCTATTAGTTCTTGACTTTGAATTTGAGTATAAATGTCCAAAGGTTAGGCCTAAAAAAGTGTTAATGGCTTCCAAAGGGGAAAATGTCTATTGGAGTAATCTCACCAAAATTTATGTCTTCTTTGAAGTAAAGTTCTTGATGTTATAAATGATGAATGTTCGTAACAAGGATGGGTCTTCTTTCAACAAATTCCACTAATTTTGTCCGAATAATGTACTTTTTTTATAAAATTTTGATATTAAATATGGAGTATTCAGTTTACATCTGCATACTATCTTGGTTCTATTGGAAGTGATGATGGTCTGATGTATTGTTGCACTCACATATGTCAATGCTGACTTAATCACATAAAATTGTAGGCCACTGTTCACACATATATTATAACAAATTTCATTTGCTAGAGAGCTAAATTATAATTTTGAAAAGTTATTTAAATAAAATTATATAGAATTTGAAGCAATTTTGTTACAAAAGTTATAGGCATGTAAAAATACATGTAAAAATATATTTACATGAAATTAGGTTATTTGAAAATTTTCTATATTATATTGTTTTGAATCAATTACCCATTGGTCTGTTTGGTCATATATTATACAAGTTTTGATAAATTGACATATTGATACAAAGAAAACATATGGTGAAAGTTAAATTATCTATGAAAAATATAAGTGGAAATATTGAATTGTTACAATAAATAAAATACGAATTTAAGTAAATATTATGTGGGTCAGTTAAAAATATTTGGTGATTGGGTAGTCTAATATGCACGTTTTCAACAAATCAAGCAGCCAAAACAGTTAAATGTTTTTTGTGTTTTTTTTTTGTTAGTGATTACTTTTCAACAACTAAATGCAATAAAGTTCACACAATAATTTTCTCAATATTTGCATGGCTCAATGTTTCATTGATTATTGATTTCTTAACTTAATAGATTAGTGCAAATGATGTTATACTAAAACAGTGATTGGAATTCAAAATAATTACTATTTCATGTTTTTTTACAAAGGATTGAACTAGTAGGCCTATAAACGTATTTATTTTTGCTTATGTATACATCAATCATAGTATGAATTATACTTATCATGTCGGCATGTAATATCATTTGCAATCCAACTTTTGTTTAAGCAACTACATAAAAAACGGTTACAAAAATATGTCTGTTATTTTGAGCGATTCGTGCGAATTATCATAATTTAACACAAAAACTACTTTAAACAAATTGATTTTACACAAATCGAAATAAATTGCTGATAGGCTATTGTTTTTTATATGTAAACCATGATTTAATAAAGGTCTTCCATTTGTAAAATGTATGAAAAGGTAAAATCAGCAAGTTTCATGAAACTAAATGGAAAGAAAGAACTGAACGTCAGCACAGTTTCTACAACAAGGGGTGGCAGATTGTCACTTATACCATTGTCAATATATGTTAAGTTTATAAAGTAAAATTTTCTTATTAGGTGCATTATAATATAAAAAATATTAAAATCAGGTAAGTTTTTGCGTGCATTCAACAGTAGCCATTATATTAAATATAGGATGTGTGATTTGTTTAGTATTTTGACGATATAAAAATGCTAACCCACAATAATTTGCTGAATTACATCACATCAAATCTTGTCCTGTGTGTTTTTACACGATTGCGTTTATTATGTACTTATATCATTCACCAACTTATATTTTTTTATTATTATATTAACGGCTCTGATAAAATATTTACTTGTGCTGTATAAAGTTCTTTAACGATGGTTACTATACAGGTTCTTTGCTGCCTTTTCCTTATAAATCGATTATTTAAAATTTAAACGTAGAGTTTAGTTTGAAGTAGTGATTATTTTATATTCTGGGACCTCAAAAACCTAAATAGTTATAATTTTATCATTATTCATCATTCCAAACGTCGAAACAAAATGTAATCTATACAGTCAACATTTTGCCTTATAATAAGGTTTTATCTGTTAATTTTGATTTTACCATTTAAAACACATAGACGTGAATTTAATATACATATACGGCAGAAATAGTATTGCCTATGAGTTATATAAGATTAAAATGAACTACTAGAATGTTTTCCTTATTACAAAAATTCTAGCTTTTATTAGGTTTATATTGCAATATTATACCGAGGTAAAATTTAAAATTAGTTTCACCTAGAGTTGTAAGAGTGAATGCAACATAACTCGTCTATATTTAAAATATTGTTATTAGTAACAGTGCCACGTGCATTAATTAAAACCATATCTCGTTTTAATGGAACGGAATCTATTAGTGTTTAACTCCCAGATTCGCTCTAATACATTTATTATGAATCAAATTGTTTCCTTGGTTACATACAACACTTTGTTTACAAAAATCACAACTAAATTTCAACACACTCACACATTAAACATCACATTACATTATTTAATTACAAAATCACTAGTGATGGCTTTACAGTGTGTGTGCGTGTTGACTGACGGACAAGGGAAGCAACCTCCCCAGCAGTCTAGAATGCAGAACAAAAAGGGACTCAGAGACATTGACCTGTGTGAGATTGCCAAGAGATCAGAGGATGAGAGAACCAAACACAATGATTACGAGTGCCACTTGAAAGGGGAGAAGAGGCAAAACCTTATCAACAAGCTTAAGATGTACCTGGATGACTATGACGACAGGTAATATGTGTTATATTTCTGTTAGGTAAACAGATCCTTGGAAGGCTGATATAGCTATATCAACAATGTCATTAAGGACTTTATGCCTTATTCCTTATTGAAATTTTTTCGCAAATCTTATGAATTCTAATGTGGTGGTTTTGCTGTAAAAACATACTTAAGCTTACTGTGTCAAGGAGCTATCGTCAAATACCAAATGTTTTGCTCGTTGTTTTCTGTATTTCTTTTCTGATCATTGATTAATCTACCTGTGTTTAGGGTAAACCTCTTAAAGTAACACAAATTGACGTTTCAGACCAGTGATGAAAGGTAAGGCGAAGACCTGCGAAGACGGAAAGACTCTAGGCCAAACCGGATTCGGACCTATGATAAAATACCCGGGCTATGTGGACTATGAACATCCGTACTTTAGCGACCCTTACAACAAGATGCCGGCCCTAGCTTCAACTGTGGGGCAGAGAGGGGAGAACCCATGTCCTCCGATAAAAGTGGTTAGTAAATAGATCAAGTAATGCTAAACATTATAGTGTTTTGACTCGTTTGCCAACATTTCAAAGTCGTATAAAATCTAAATTATACAGAAAAAAGAAAATAATTCGGTGTAGTATACAAAGAGCTCCGTTGGTAAACAGTCTAGTTCTAACAAAATGTTCTTAGGATCCAGTATAAAAATAAAATTAAGAATGCATTTTTATGAAAAGATTTCTCGATTGCATTTATTATATAAAACGTCCTATCAAAATGACAACAAGTTAAACAAAGCTTTATACCAAATAGCGGAAATGTTACGATTATAAGTTGTAATTTTAGGTAGAAAAAGGCAAAACTTTCAGGGTGTTTCTTATTTTACAACTGAGAATCTTAAAATTCCGGATTTCTTAAAATTTTAATTAATTGTTAAATGTACACACAATTCGAAAGCTGCTGTAGTACTCCTACAAAAATGTTGTGGACACAGAATACATATTGGTATATTGGTATATATATTGGTATATTGGTATACATATTGGTATATTGGTATCTTAATTATCAAACCCTCAGAACTAATATGAAAGACTAGTGTTTTATTTATACGAGTTAAGGGAACTCCATAACAAAATAAGATAATCACTAAAATAATCTGAACAACAATAATAAAACTAATAAAATAATTTTAACATCGGTTTATTTTTTTTTTTGCCAGAGAAACTGGGATGCCTTCAACACCCAGGGCACTGTCCACACACAAGATATGGGTAATGGTTGCCAGACTAAAGCTTCTGAGGATTTAGACGGACGATGTCGGTGTGCCGAACGTAGAGGAGAGGTTCCTACTTGTCCTGCAGCCGCCAGATATCCTAAATCTCCTGTGGTTCCAGGGGACATGACGAGATCTCCTTACGCTGATAACCTACACACGCACACGAACACACACAATACTCAGCCAGCATGTGAATACATCTGCATACCTCTGCCAGACTAAAAGTTGACTAAAGGTCCCATACATCTACTACTAGAATTAAATTTGTAATGTTTTTGTTTTACAAGAAAAATAAATATTGATTGAAACTGTTCTTTGCTGTATCTAGGTTCATACATAAGATAAGAGTAGTCTTTTTATCTCACCTTTAAAATGTTTTTTAACCTTTTTATAATTGTGTAAGTTAATTTGATTTACTCTTTAAATTCCTTGTATTAAATGATATATTTGTCAGTTACCCACTGAAAGCTAGAAAGAAAATACAACTATCCTGACTAAATGTATTTATTTATTTATCATTTTTATGTAAAGAATATTTTATTTAAGGTAGCAAAACCTCACTTACACCTGAATGATTTAGTTCATGCTAAACAAGGCTTGAAACCCGATGACGTGATCACTGATTAATATAAAAGGGGTTCAAAATGTCACTTTAAAATGTTGCGTTTGACCTGTTTAGGGAAGAAAGAGGCAAAACAATATCTGAAAAAAAATTTAGGCAAAGAAATATCCGGTGGAAATCAAATTAGGCTCTACATTCTTGTGGATGTTTTAAATAATTTGTTCAAGTGCTTAAGAGTTTGTTAATAATAAGTCCATGCGTGTAAAACTCAACGGAGATTTTTTAAAACACGAAATCTATATTAAAACTATTAGTTTTTCTTTTCGAGTTGGTTTGGCTTTTCTACCCGAGCAATTTTCATAATTAGGTCTTAAATAAAAGGTTTGAAGGCACTAATTTGCCATCAAGCATCGACATTCGTTTATCTGACGTATATGTCGAGCTATATACTAAAACAACTTCCTCCCATTTTTGTTTGAGTTAAATTTGGTTTTACTTTTCAAGCTAGTTTGGTTCTTCTACGAGACCAATTTCCATGATATGTGTCTTAAGTTAAATCTATGCACGAACAAATTTGCATCATGATTCATTTTTCTACTGTAGTACTCAACCAGAAACATAAATTATATTTTCTTTCGAATTCTTACTTAAATTAGAGATATATTTCATCAGTTATTATCGAATAGGCCTACATTTAGGTCCAAGAACCGTAAAATGCCAGGTTGTATTTTAGTTATTGATTACTAAGATCGGACGTACTTAACGCACACTGCTGAATCCCAAATAAACAAAATTATAACTATTTCAGGACTCATCTGTAATCAATAATATGTAACTCCATTTTTATTTTGGCAATTTTATACAACTATTTTATTTTTATTCTTGGTATTAAAATACTCTTAGAAATAAAGGCTTCGCATACTTTTTTTTTAAGATTCGTTTAATGGTTGTCTACGTTTGTCAAAGGTCTGATCACCAAGATTGTTTATTATGTTTTTAATTGTAACGCAATTGCTTACTCTGTTTCTGCAATGCTTACAAATTCTCTAACATTGACATAAGGGTTGTTGTCACTTCGCAATGTTTTCTAACGTTCAAAGTGTAGGAGAGACTCAAAAATATTATCTATTCTAAGGGGCTTTGAACAATTTAAATGCAATTAAATCTGAAATTTTCTTAAGTAGCGTTATCCCTTATTTCCCATTGGTTAGGAACTTTAATATTTAAATAACAATTTGTTTACTATCAATAAACTAGAATAAGTGCCTGTATGAATACAAATTTAATTCATTAAGCCTACATATAAGTTATTACTTAAATCTTGTTTTTTTTTCTTAAAATATCTGAAAACAAGATTACCTACAAGATTATATATATATTATACATAATCCTGTAAATATAAGTCTAGGAATTGGATGACTATATGCTTTTGATTTCTAATACACATCGAATGTCTCTAGGCATAATTTAATTGTGTAAACAATAAAGGTTGTGGCGTATTGCTTAAAAATTCAATATCATCACAGATTATGTACAATGATCTTATCATAAGTATGAAGGACTAGATTTTTCAAACGTTTTGTTTAGTAATAATCTTTCACCTAATATAAGTTTATTTTAAAACTAATGTTACAGAACTATAACTTCCTTAAACACCCTAGCTACTATGGTAGGTTTCAAAATTATTATGAACTATCTTTTACCCACGGGCTTGACTCCGTTTGACTTCATAAGTATTAATAAAACTATGAGGTATTTTTAACATTAGGTAAATGGAAAGTTCTATTTAGAAAGGAATTACGACCTTAAAGGGCGATTTATCAAATAATGGATAGTTTTGCGCAAGGTTTCTCGTCATGGCGAACATTTTAAGTATATGGGGGTGAGATTTGTAGTTTTCTCAAAAGTTCAAGGGTACTTTGGGATTTATACATACATAGTCTATGAGTTAGTGTTTATTGTAATATAGTAAAACAGTTGAACATAAATAAATAAACCATATTCTGAACATATAATACATCATAACATAGTGTTGCCAGGGTTGTACTATAGAGATGGGATAATTAATTTCAAGATATAAAATTTGGGAAATTACATCAGTTTTATAAAATCTAATCCGAAAATCCAAACTGATATGCATAATGAATTGGATTTTTACTACGGTATACATTTTTAAATATTGGTCTTTTACTAAAATTCAAACAAAAACTATTTAAATAATAGTCTTTTTTTATCAAAATAACTTCTAAACCCTGTAATTGGATATTTTAAATTAATTCTCAATGTTATCTGTCAAACTTACAAAATTATAAAGCCATGACAGGAACTCATAAGAAACCACTTCTAGCGAAATACGGGTCCCAACACGTTAGATTGTCAACAGAATTACAACGAGGGTTGGTTAAGGCTGACTCTCTAGGGTGAAGTCTTGGTCAGTAAACTTGTCTTTGATAGATTTACCATGGTCTACTTGAGCCTTATACCGAGAGAAGTTTAACATGTGCTCAGTTTATAAATAGTTTATCATATTTTTTATAGTTTCTTATTGCATTAAATAAAAATATGATCTTGCCTATACAAACTTATCAACAATAAAACCGCTAAGATTAATTGTTTTGCTTGTATTATTTGGTAACGAAATCATGTTTCCTTACCAAATTTAAAATGTATTTAGAGGTGCTACTGTTGATGTTATTTAGGAAATGCTGTATCAGGCAAAATAAACAGTACTCAAATGGTATCAGCTGATTCACATATGGTACTGCTTATTTTGGCTAATACTGTATATCATCTGTTACGTACAGCAACGGCTGTAACTCTCTCTTACAACTGACAGACAAGACAGATTGCATAATTAACTGACTCGGACAATCCAAAGGGATTAGGTTTGTCTCAATTAATTACGACTACGCAGCAAACAGTAACCAACTACTCAGTTATACAATAATTCTAAATACGGTTATATATTAAGTACCAAGGCATTTAATTAGCGATTTCTTAAAAAAGGAAAATATCCCATAAACAAGTGGCTGTTATTAACTATGTTTTATATTGCAGGGTAATAAAAGTAATCACTCATTTTATAATCACACGATTTAGGGAGGATTTAGTGTGATCAACTATAATTTTTACGACATAGTGCTTGTTTAGAAGAACTAGTTTTGTAACTGTAAGAAATTACCCATCTCTGACATCTGGAGTTTTCTCACGTCTTAAATATCTACTAGATAACATGAGGCAGTAACTGTCACCAAACAGAAACTTGTTTATTGTAGAAAGCTTTAAATTGTTTGTGATGTGATGTGAAGTAACATTCTAACTCTCACACGATGTTAATAAAATCACAGTATCTACTTTTTTGTTAAGTTGTATACAAACAATAGACGTTCTTTTTTATTCAAAGTTCTGTGATGTAAATATTTTTTTTTATTTATTTAATGAATTAAATCACAAATCAAATATGGATGCATCGTAGTAGGATTACATCAAAGGGAAGCAAATGCTACTGTTACTACATTAGAATACCCTTATGAATATTTATTTGAGTCAGATATTCTGCTTTGAATGTTGCTAATAGTAATAGTTTATGATTAATCTAGCTTATTTGGAGTTATGACTGTGTATTATATTCCAGAACAGTCTAGGTTACAGAAATAATGGTTATACTTACCAATAAAAAAGAACCAAGATACAATTAGAATTAACTTTATATTAGCTTTCAAAATTTCATCATCTTCATCTTCTTCTTCTTTCCTTCAAGAATAAGGCAGTGCCTGTTCCGATCTCACAATAATCTCTTCACTTCCATCTCTTCCGAGGTCTTCCAACATCCCTCTTCCCTCTAGGGTTGTAATTAAAAGTCTTCCGTGGTTTGCATTTAGATAATAAAAAAATGATTTTCTTTATTTTTTTGCATTGGAAAAATACATTAGGGTATATTTCATGCATTTGTTAACAATGTATCTATAACATTTTCCTTTGAAACAATATAAGGATTTTGATGTCCATGTTCCGTCTAGGAATAGTAAATAGATTTAGTAGTTAATATCCTGCAGAGATAGGACTTTTTGTACGCAATTAATAATACTTACCAATGTTGCTAAAAACACGACATAGAGTATTGGTAACATGTACTATGATGAGATTAAATCATTTAACATTTTAAAACGTAAACACTATGGAATACTTTTCTTAAGGCTTTTGGACACGAATCATTGTTTGTTTTTTTTTTTGCGGTAAACCAAACCACATCGTTACATCGCAGTAAACGAAAAACCTTTAGTGGTTTGGCGTGTCTCATTATAACTGAAAACAATGTCAACAATAACTACAACCAATCAATCTAACGAGTGTACACTACTAATGGTGTACACTTAGTAGATATTGCCATAACATACATAATTATATCTGATTGTTAAGTATTTTTTCAATGAGAGACAAAGGGCAAAATCGCCGTTAAACTTTTTTCATTCTTTTACTTATTGAATAAGATATTTACTTTATTCCTAAACAATTACTCGTATTTTTATGTTTGACATGAAATATCTTATCGGTAAAGGTAATCAAAAATTGACATCAAAATAACAGTCCATTGAATGTTTATCATTCTAATAAGTAAGAAATAAGTAACTTACTAAAGATGTTTTTGTGTTATACAAAATCTAAGG